TGCTTTGGCTGGCTGGGAGGTGGGAGGTCTTCGAGGGCAGAGGGTCTCCTTCCGCCCAGCTGGCCTGGAGGGCCTTTGTGGAGGGGTCTGCAGAGTGGCCGCGGGCAGGGCAGGTGTGGAACATCACGTGTCCAGCAGATCCGGCTGACACAGGAAGACTGGACACCCATTTCTTGCTCCCCAAATCTCACCCCCAAACTGTGGCTTTTCTGTGTACGGATGCTGTGTGGGGAGCTGGAAATGAGAGGAGGAGGGACAGAGAATGTGTAGAAACCAAACGAAACGTGGCAGCTCGGGAGCTGTGGCACCTAGGGCCACGTCCTCCATTTCCTCATCTGCACGACGGGGCAGGTGCGAGGCCCCCGAGACGCCACGTGTGGAGGAACGGTGGGGAGTTAAAGTGCTGTACCGAGGCCAGAGGCTGTGGTCATCTAGGTGCGTAAGGCTGAACGTGGCTGAGACGGCGGTGAGACGGAGCCCTAGGGCCGGCCGGCCCTCCCCTCTGCCTCCTCGGCCTGAGCTCCACCTTCTCAGCCTCAGCTTTCAGGAGGAAGAGGCCTCATCTCAGATGGAGTCCCCGGGCTGGGGTGAGAGCAGAGGGTGCGGCCAGGAGGACCTAGGGGCACCGAGGAGGGACCTCAAGGGGGCAGTGTGGCGCGTTGGCACTACCGGTGTCGGGCAGACGTGGAAGTGGCTTCTAGTTCTTACCCACGGGCTTGGGCCCACAATGGGATTGGCGTCTCGATGCAGGGGGCAGGGCCCAGCCTTGGGGTCAGGACGCCCAGAAGTCCTGGTCCTGGGTCATCTCCCCATGGCGGCCCTTGGGCCTGTGGCTTGTCAAATGGGGACACGAATCCCTACCCTGCCTGGCTCACCAGTTAAAGGGGAGAATGTGCAAGAGCTTTGCAGAGAGTGGCGGGAAGGCAAGGGGTATGGCCTTGGAGAGCAACCCTGAGTCCCTGAAGACGGGGGAGGAGGAGGCAGGGTGGAGCGGGCTGATCACTGCCCAGCCAGGCGACTTGGGCTGCCAGGACGCGAGGGCGGTGGGAGGGGAGGAGAGCTTCCGCCTGCAGCCCAGCCCTGACTCAGTGGTCCTGACTCAGTGGTCCCACAGAGGTTCCAGAGTGTCCCCCACCCCCGCAGGGGCAAAGTTCAAGTTCTAAGCCTATCTGGGCTTCTGCGTCTCCCTACTCCCTGGTCCACGCCACCGTGGGGAGTCCACAGTCTTCAGTCCCAGCTGAGGGGCAGACTGGCTCCTGGGGTGGCAGGGAA